TGAAGAAGACAACAAATGGTGTGCTCTGGAGTTTATAGCATAAACTGCAAGGACTGTAGACAAAAATACATCGGAGTGAGGGGTAGGACAATCAGCACAAGGATCAAAGAACATCAGCGACTGTGCAGAAAATGTGTAGGGAAAGATCATAGATAGCTGAACACATCGCCACTACCGGCCACAGAATTGACTAGAATACAACAGAAGGACTGGCCTGATATGGGGAGAAAACCAGGAAATGGAAGATCAGGGAGGCTGTGTACATCCTCTTTCAAAGAGTCATGATGGGCACAATATTCAAGGAAGGAGAATTCTGCAATAACTTCACATACCTCCTGGACAGACTTGGAAATTCAGCAAAGACAACAAAAATAAGACGCTTAGACCCATGGAAACTATGCAACAACAGGAACAGATAAGGCCAAGTAGTGACTCATGAGGGACAAAGGGAAGTCAAGAAAATGTGATTGTAGTGAGAGGAGTCAAACCAGGAATTGGCCAAAAAATTTACTTGGGAAAACCCACCTGTGGGATGTGGAATAATAAATTAAAGGCCAAAGGTACAGGTATGCCAGATATGGGTCTCCAGTTAGCGTACGTGTGTACTTGTGTGAATTTGTCAGGTGTGTGCCTTAATGTGAGATCACTGGTGACATGCTTGACCACGGGGATACGAGTCAACACACACATGAACATTCTAGTGCTCTAGGATTAGATGCGAGTGTCAACTTAAAATACACGAGGAGTGTGACTTTCGCGCTGCAGGGGGCAAAAGAGAAGCAGTGCATTTTCGCATCACTGGTTATGACTTAACCCGGACACAGACGGCCAAAGAATGAAGAGCAATGTGGGAGGGAATGAGAAAGAGTATAACTCATTTTGTGTTTGTAAGTAGAGTTTCGAGACTACCAGTATAACTCAGTCATGGGTTGAAGCCTAGGTAGATGAATATCTCCAGGCATTGGCATAGGCATGGAAATGGGCACGGACATGGGTATGGACATGGACATGGGTACCTTCTCTAAATCCTCAAATATGGCGGACGAGAATCGAAGGGTCTAAGGCAGCCAGATTTCACACAGTCATCACCTTAAACGAAATAGGGTGAATATATCACATAGTTAGACAGTGATTTTGATGTTTAGCAGCGACCGATTGACAAGCGGGGTAGAAGAAAAGGGGGCTGAATGAAGGTTAGGAGCCCTGCAAACGGGAATGATTACGCTTCACTAAATCCACTTGAAGCGACACACACTCAGGCGACACTGGAGGAAACGAGAGCACAAAATTATGTGAATAGGTAGACGGGCCATATGAAGTGGTGTCGAGAGAAAGTGATGCAGCACTGGAAAGTATAACAAAAAATTGGCTCTTTGACGAGTTCGTAGCTTGGTGCTGCGAATGATGATGCCGACTACGATGGCGGCGAAACGTTTGAGAATGTATCAAGTCCACTGTCAGATGCTGGGAATCAAGACAACTACTACGGCAGACGACTTCGGACTCGGTGCGTTCTACATAGTCTCCCTTAACACAAGACCAAGTTGCGACAACGAGGTCAACCCACTTCTAGCAGACGACGTCGGACTAGGTGCGTTCTACATGGTCTCCCTGAAAACAAGACCAAGTTGCTACAACGAGGTCAACCCACTAGTCGCCCTGACAACAAGACCAAGTTGCGACAACGACTCTAGACGACTTCGGACTAGATGCGTTCTACTAAGTCGTCCTGACAACAAGACCAAGTTGCGACAACGAGGTCAGACGAATTCGGACTAGGTGCGTTCTACTAAGTCATCTTGACAACAAGACCAAGTTGCGACAACGAGATCAACCCAACGTTTGAGAATGTATCAAGTCCACTGTCAGATGCTGGGAATCATGACAACTACTATGGCAGACGACTTCGGAACTAGGGTACATAGTCGCCCTGACAACAAGACCAAGTTGCGACAACGAGGTTAACCCACTCCCATATTATTTGTGTTGAGGAATGTATCAAGTACATTGTCAGATGCTGGGAATCATGACAACTACTATGGCAGACGACTTCGGACTAGGTGCGTTCTACATGGCCCCTGACAACAAGACCAAGTTGCGATAACGAGGTCAACCCACTTCTATAAATCGAAAGGAGACTGCGACCATACCAAAAGCCATATCATCTTGGTCTTCATATCTTCAATTAAAATAAGCAAGATTGTCGATTGCTATACCAAATATAATTTTGCTTCATCGGCAATCACACCATAGATA